CAAGTAATCTATTCAAGCATTTAACCAGGCTTACAGTGAGAAACCTTTTCCTGATATCTAACCTAGGACAAGTACTATTATACCACTACAGAGATGGGGAACTGATGCAATGGGCCCAGATCCTCAAAAATAGTTAGGGCACTAACTCCCTTTAAAATCAATAAGAATTAGGAATGTAATACATTTGTGTATCTGGTCCAAAGTGACGCACCCAAGATCACACAGAAAGTCTGCAGCAGAAATTGGAATTGAACTTTAGTCTTCCTGCTTCCAAACCCCGGGACCATTGCTCTTCTCAAGTGCTCCTCTAACCCTTTGGATATTCTCCAATCCTAGTGGAGAAGTTGTCATCCTCTTGGGAAGGGTGGAAGGCCCATTCTGTTCATCAAGGTAGCATTCAGCTCTGTTGGAATTGCCTGGGTGAGGGACAAAGCTGCAAAGCTGTGGAGTGGCCTTTTGCTTGGGTAATAATTGCATTTGATACGGAGGCTGGAACGGGCTCATCAATCAATGGGGAACCAGGCCAAGGCCAAGTTCTTATTGATCCCTATGCCATTTATCTCTGCATTTGCTGTGCATCAAACACAATAATCACAGCTCCCTGACATTTGGGGAAGAGGAATTGGGTCTAACTGAAGGCTGAAGTGACAGAGGCACCTTAGATCAACCCTGATATCCCCTGCCCTTTATGATTCAAGATGTTTCCATATGCATGTTCCCTGCCACACCACCATGCCCTCATTAGACAAGACATGAATCCCCCAGTGAGAGTTGGACTGTGGAGAAATCACTAGGAAGTCTGCTGGAGTTTTCCCCTTAGAGTTGCTGCAAGTCCAGAAGGTGCCTTCAAAAAAGTTTGGATTTTCTTCTTTGCTATTTCAAGGACAGGAAAATTGGCTTGGATGAACCCAAGCCAGAGATGGTTGGAAACTGAATCCAGCACCGAAAGGGAGGTTCTATACCACATTTGGAGCCAAATATGTACCTGGCCTCTATCCCTACAGTGGACTGAATTAGACCCCCTAACCTGGACATCATGGGTTGCATCATTTTTGGGCCCAGCTCTGTGAAGTGTGTGTGTGTGTGTCTTCTGGACTCTGCAGCATCAAACTGTAAATGGAAACCCAGTATTTATGCATGTTTTGAGGCCTCCCAGAAACCAAACAATCTAAGAACTCAGATAGGGAGAGGCTCCCAAGGGGACTCTTGTTAGGTGAGTAATGGTCTGGGGTATTGTCACTGCCACTGAAAGGGGAGTTACTGGGGGAACACCTGGGGGTTTTATTCTGATGGTGGGGCAGGGAAAGGTCCTTTTGATCTCTGGTAGAAGAGGTAATGCTGCTTTCCAAAACCCCAGGAAGGCCAGAGGGCTGTGCCTCATGTTTTGAGTTCCTCTACTGCTCCCAAGGTTGAGAGCTCCTCTCCCATTGCCAAGATGGAAGCATTTGTACAGATGGATGTGTGACTGTGACCCCACATGCCAGACTGGTTGTCCATGTGTCTGAGGACATGTCTGTGTCTATTTGGGCAGAAGGGGTCCATGTTTCTGTCAAGTCTGTGCATTTGCATGGGTTACATAGGAGCATGTATACAAAGACTGCAGATGGGTAGTCTCTGACTGCAATGGGTAGACCCATTATTGTGGGTATGCTGACCAATGGTGTGAGGGGCAAAGATGCTCATGGGAGATACCTTTTATTAGACCAACTGCATGGTTGGGAGAGATTTAGACAAGGTTTTGGGTAACATAGTATCTGAGGAAGGGTAGTGTGGCACCCTAAAGCTTGTCTCTAAGTCTAGCCCAACCATACAGTTGGTCCAAGAAAAAATATTACTCAAAAAATCCTTGCCTCTTGCATATTTCTTGGACCATCAAGGCTACAACAGCACTTCACTATTACCAGACAGATGGTGTGGTTCATGTGTCCAGTAGAGTTTGTGTGTGGTGTCTGCATGTTGTCTGAGGGTGTCAGGGGGTGGTTTTAGGTACGTGTAGTGGTGTATGGTAGTATGCATGTACAGTGTAATGTACGTGTATGCAGTGGCTACATGTATTTGACGGTGGGTGGGTGTGTGTGTATGTATGATGTGAGGTGTGTGGTATATGCCTGTGTGTTTAGAAACTGCATATGTGTGTGTGCCAGCGAGGGCACGTTGTGTGGTGCTGTCAGTACGTGGGGTAACGATCTCATATCCCCTCCTGCCCCTTCCTGAGTCCCAGGTGGGAATGCGGGCAATGCCAAGAGGGTTGGACAGGGCTGCCCACTCCCTGTGGCCCTGCTGCTCTCCCTTCCCTGCTAGGTTTCCAGCAGTAAATGGCCGGCTGACGAATGGCATCATTTGTCACCTGTGAAGTGCCTGCGCCGATGTGTCTCTTTCACTGGACTGGCAGCTCCCCAAAGCTCTGCTGATTGGATTTCTCCCCTGCCCTCCTCTCCCCACATGACAGCGCTTAATGAATGGGGCACCCAGGCAGCAGTGTGATTTACAGGATACTGGGAGAGCCTGGAGCGGCGCCTGCAGCTGGTGCTTGCCACATAAATCACTGCCTGGGACTGGGCAGGAGATGGGGGCTCGGCAGGGCAGAGACCCAGCCCACAGCTCCCATTCTTGCTCCAGCCCTGGGAGACGGAGGAGCAGAAAGAGCTGAGGGGAGCAGGTGGAACATGAAGCATGCCTGAGGACACAGGCATTTCTTAGGAGTTTCCCTGTGCTTTACAGATCTTGGCTCTTTGTGGAACATGGGCCTAAGGACAGTCTATGCTTTTCAGAGGGCCAAGTGAGGCAGAGAAGGGAGGCTAAGTCTGTGGTTCTGGGTTACCGAGCTGGATGAGTGACTGGTGGACCCTGTTGAGAAGTGTGTGGTAGGCCCAGGGGAAGAAGGGGACATGCTGGAGCAATGCCACATAGGTACTTCTCCTTCTCCCAGAGGATTCAAACTCATCATCTTGCAGCAAAGGAGGAAGCCAGCTCCCTCAGTGACTTCTACAGCCTCTGCCCACTCCAGCCCTGCCTGGGGTCTTGCATCTCTCCACTCACATGCCTACCTCCAGGCCCTCGAACTGTGCAAGCTGAGGCCTGATGAGTGTCCAGAGCCCTGACCCACTAGGTCTCCACAGTCCCCTCTGGCACTTGAAGACTAATTTCTTCTTGAGCCTCTTTAGCACAGTGCTGCCGGTGCGGTTCCTGTGACCCTTGAGGACCTGTAGAGCAGCCACAGCATATTTCCTCTAGCCCTTGGGCACTCTAGGTTACCTATAGCACTTCTATACTGTCAGTCACCTATAGCATGTGTATGTCCAGGGTTTCCACTCAGCTAGACAGCAAAGATGAAGCTGAATGCTGGAATGAAAGTAAGCTTTCTGCAAAAGCCAGTATAAAACCACCTGGTGTAAAAGCAAAATGGACTCCGATGTTGCACTGAGCTGTCAGAGCCTGATTTGATGATCAGAAGGCCCCATGCCCTGGAGCATCATAGAGGGCAGGGGCCAGCCAAACTCAGGTTATAGCCAGAGGAAGTTAGTGCCAGATGCAGCTAACAGCTGGTTCTGTTTGATAGTGATAAATGAGAGCATCTTCATTCAGTGTGTGAGGGAAGGGCAGGAAAGCTTGCCAGGGTTTCAAAACAAGCTTACTCTGGCTAATACAACCCAGGCTAAGGCAGAGGCTGAATTACATACACTGATTAATTAGAATACTAGTACATCTTACACCGAAATTTGAGACCACTGCCAGCCCTGCTCTCTAGTCCAAACCCACCAGCCATCCACATTAGAAACTCCTTAGCTTCCCCCTTTACCACAGGGGCAGTCCTGCCCAACCCCTCCCCTGGAAGCTCTTCTGAGAATCAGAGCCAGAGGCCACCCCAACCCAACCTCTTCCACCAGTCTCCTCCCACCAGCTGCACTTCCCTCTAGTTTCACTTAAGCCCTATAGGATGTAGGCCAAGAAGTCTGCCAGCCCCTGACTTCAGGCCATTCTATATCCTATATCTTGTCTCTACTGCCTGTAATCAGAGTCAAGCACATGAGGACACACAAGTAATGGGTACATTGAGTCCTACATGGGCGTGAGAGGAGCCCTTCTAGAACTCGGTCTATCCACTACTTGTCTGTCCCTGTGTGCCTGGTACAAACTTGCAGGAAAGGAGTATAGACAAGGGACAGGTGGCTCACATGATCTGGACAAGTTAAGGGCAACTCCCTGGATCAACCTGAAATAGATATACCTTTAGTCTGCAATTGCCTCTTGGCTAATGGGCACAAGTTAGATTTTTAGTTGGGGTTAGGCACCAAAATACCTTAAAAAATCTGAGGCCTGCTTCTTAAACTCAAGCAATGAAGTCTCCCAATTTAAGATCCCACGTTGATCCCTACAAACAACCTCAAGTGCCTGCTCTCTCTCTCCAGACCTTATCTGAAGCACATGTAGCACATGCGTCATACAGCACAAGTAGCACCCGTGTAGCTCCTGTAAGAGTTGTGTGTTTAGACCTGGCCCTTTACCATTCTCACAAGATGATACCATGCTCATTGTTAAATTTGTAACAGAATGTGCTCTGCAAAGACTTCTTTGCATGCTGGAGTGTCTACTCTGTATAGCCTTTCTTACAGCACCAGTGCAACTAAATCTGCACCTATACAACTTAATATGGTACAGACAACACTTGCATTCTTAAATGATAACAAAACCTTAACATGATGTACCTAGATTTCACCAGCAGTCCTTTTATATTTGAAGGGCACATTGCATATACTTCATAGGTACTAGGAAGTACTGCAAACAAGTGCTTAGAAGGGTTTCTGCATCACTGCACCACGATGAAGGTACAGATGAGGAACATTCCATTTCCTCCTGTACAAATCCACACAAATGCGCTGGGTGGTGGAGTCCAAGTCTCTTTCCTCTCACTGCCTGTACAAGCCATTGAACCACCCACCTCCAAGTCAAAGCTGGCCAGGGAAGGGTTAACATGACATATGTATTAAAAAGACAATTACCTCCTCTGCCCTCGCTGTCCGCTGGTTTCACCTGGATGGGGCGATTCATCTGAAAAACAAGGAGCAATGCGGTTAGACAGTTAATAGGCAGGGACTGCAGCAGAAGGGAAATGATGGATGGCTGCTACTAACCCGAATGGAAGCTAGACCCCATCCCTGCCCCATGGGAGTAAGGGCCACTGTTGTGATCTGCTCCAGGAAGAGCAGTTACCCAGTCCAGTATCTTTAAGTGACTGTTAACCAAGTGGGAAAGGTCAGCATTGGGTACAAGAGAAGATACAGCCTACCTCCCCAGTCATCTAACAGAAGGGGCATGGATTTGTGGACCTGGCTGGAATGGATTTTGAAAACCCAGTCTGGTGTCCTGGCAAAAATTCCATGGACTTCAAAGGGCCCAAGATCTTGCCTTGAATACTGCCCCATGTATCGGAACAATGGGGTACCTGGACAGGCTCTTGCCAGCTAAATCACTAGGCTGTTACAGGAATAGGAAGGGAGAGATCATCTGGAGGTGGTCTGAGGAGAACCAAGGGGTCTCCTAACACAGAAGGGTGGGCAGGGTGTCCAAGAGATGGGGCAGAGAATCAGCTTGGAAGAGACAAAGGACTAAGATGAGGAATAGGAAGATGTATGTGAGCATAAGTGTGCTCTGGGATATCAGATCATACTTGCCAAAAGCCCTCATTTAACGGGAACAGCAAAAACACCTCTCCATCCCCAACTTACAGGGAGCTTGCCCCAGCTTCATACATTTCTGGCTCTAGATGGTAAGGACAGGTCCACAAAGCAGAAGGAGAGGCTGGGGCCCCTGGGGAGGAGGAGTGGGAGGCAGGCAGCAATGGGATGGATAACACCCATTGTGGGGAAGCAATCTTCTCCCTCAGGCCTTGGCTGGATCTAATGCACTTGCCCTCATCCCAGAGCAAAGCCGCCTCTCTGCTCAAAGGGCAACCCCTCTGCAAAGGCAGAGAGAGAACATCATCCTCTAATCTCTCCCCAGCTCCCAGGGATTAGTGCCAGGATTAACTGAGAGGATCATTGACTTCATCAGGGTTATGGGGAGAGGCAGTAAGGAGGAGGAGGTGGGATCTGCCTCCCTTTCTCACAGCTCCCTGCTTCCTGGGCTTGTTTCTGGCCAGGGCTGGAGAGGACAAGCCACCTTCTAACAGGGGTTAAGCCACGGCTGGGAGTCACACCCACTCCAGGCCACAGGAGCTACTCTGCGAGGACCCAGCAATCTCTCCCACCAAGATCACTAATAACCATCATGTCACCCTGAAAGAGGGAAAGTGGGTGTGACCCTACCTGGCCAAGAACTTGCTGGCTGGGGAGAAAACAGTCAGCCTGTGGTCATTACTCCAGCAGGCCAGCCCATGGGCAGCAGGGACAAGCTTCCTCCTCTGACAATGTTCTCTTCAGAGCCCAAGCACAGGACATGCAGGCAGCTCCAATGACTTGTGTAGGCCTCAAAGCCAGAGGAAGGCCCCTGTGTTTTCACACCTATGCCTGTGGCCCTAGAGAGGCTGCTTGTGAAGGACATACATGGAGGGGGGACCTCGCCTGCAGCTCTAAAAGAGACACGGTCAGACTAGGGTGCCAGGGCTGGCCTTACCTTCCAGAGACCCTTCTCTGCTGGAGGGCAGTACCAGGCAGGCAGGGGTCCTATCTCTGGCATACAATTTTCTACCCTGTGACCTTACTATTACAAGTGTTGGCTTAGAAATGGTTTCTAAAGGTTTGTTTTGTGGGAAGTGGCTTATAGGTATAAATATACGTATTAAAATTGTGTAAGATGGCCATCAGGGATTAATTGATTTCTAAAAAGCTTGGGTCTCACACACAAAGTTTCTCACAGCTTTCAAGGCAGACAGGTTTTCTAGCACAACAAGGAGACATAGTATAGAAAATAGTCTGGGAACTGGAAGTGTATACCATACTATCCCATAACATGAGATAATTAGCACCAGCTAACAAGGCCTCAGAGTGGAAGGGCGTGAGTCCCAGTTTTGTGGGAACAGACCAAATTAGGAGAAGGTCCGGAAAAAAAAAATGAGTAGGTGTGCATGTGACGAGCTTGGAATGTGCTGACGACACAGTATGTGGACAGTGTGACCACAGAGAGAAAACCAACCAGAGATAGCCAGGGATAAGAGTCATCAGGAGTCATTGGGAGGGAAGGAGAATACAAAAGCAGAGACTTGAGAATAACAAAGCGTCCCTCCCCATTCCTCCTCCTCCCTGAGAGGGGTCCCCGTCCCTGTTCCTGTCCCCTGAAGGGTCCCCGAGGCCACCATGGACAGAGGGCATACCACCAACCCCTCTCATACACCCCACCGGGCCTCAGCATCCCACTTCCAGACTGCTGACATGCTGGCACCTAAGAAACAGCCTCAGAGTGAAGACTGCATCCTGGCCAGATGTACTTTGACTCTGATGACTCTGTACCCTAGGATTTGGTACGTATATAGAATTGATTGGTTGTTTGTATTGCTTCTTTTCTGTTATCACTGTGTATCAATAAATTTGCCTATTACTGAAGGGAAAGGTTGTGGTTGGTCTGGGGGTGGGAACAAGGCCTCTGGCTCCTAAATCCAGAGCCAACAGGGCGTAGATATTCAGCCATCCCATAATGCACTGACTCAGTCCAGAGGTCTGAGCTTAAAGCCTCACAATCCTAAAGCCAGAGTAAAGGAGAAGGCTGGCAAAAGAGATGCTGCCTGCTGGTTTCTGAAAGTGGGAGCTCCCTGCTAACCAAGCCACCTGCTATCCCCTCTTTGTGCTGAGGCCATGACCCTGGCCCAATCAGAGGAAACAGGGGTGGGCCTGGCTCCCTCAAGCAAACCTGGCAATGCAGACAGGGGACATTACAAGTGCAAAGGCAGGCCAGCCTGCATTCTGCACTCGCCAGCATCCCGGGGGTAAGGGAGACAGATGAGTATCTTTATCTTAGACATTTGGTCCAATTCAGCTGCGGTTCAGTGGCTGGTCAGGCCTGTTATAACTGTGCATTGCCAGGGGATATGCAGCAAGGCCCAGCACCCAGGGGAGGCAGCTCTGGCTGTTCAGCTTCCACTAGTACTCAACTTTTGAACCCATCTCTGCTTCCCTTTTTGCAGCAGCATAGATGGCCTGGCAGAGATGGGGCCAGACCAACTGCAGCACTGACCCCCCACTCACAACAAATGTCAGGAAAACTCAGGTCTCAAACCCCACATATCCAGATGCCAGGGTGGATCTTTGCGCCTCAAGCACATTTCTAAAATTCAGTATTTTACCCAAGCAAAAATCCCAGCCCTTCCCCATATTCTGCATTTGTTTTAGGCTCATGCATTCATTTAACACATCCAGTGCAGCTCCTGTTTGGTCACAGAGCCTCAGGACTGCCCTGTCTGGATGGGAAATTAGCAGCCACAGGCAGATCATGGCTCAATGGAAATGGCAAAAGTGCAAGGTGCTTTGGGTGGCTAGCTCTCTGCCCATTGTATAGGGCAAGATAGCACCATATAGCACTAGAGTGCTTGGTCCAGCACAGTTTCCAGGGGATCCTTCCAGCCCAGTGTAAGGAGTTTAGAAAAAATAATACAAGTGCTTGCATGAAATAGATGGCTTGGATTCAGAACTTCAGTTTCCTTCACGTTAGGCTCATGTGTGATATCCCAGTTTAGGTGCCCTCTAGGGGCTGGTTATGCAGGTTCTAGGTCAGGGGTTCTCAGACTTTTTAGTCTCAAGGCCTCCTTTGGAAAATGCCAGCTCTTCAGTTTCACTTGATTTTTGACTACAGAAAAATAGAATAGTTTTCCTGTCGCAAACAACTCAGAAAGACCACAGCAGGGCAGAATGCTTTTTACTGTGGATACTTACTTGAAATTTCTGGGTTTATCTTGTGAATCATGTTTGGCTGCCTCACAGTGCTCACATTGTGGGCATCTCATGGCAGCTCTGAAAGATTCTTAAGGCACCCCAGGGTGCCATGGCTGAGAATCACAAGTCAGAGTTGAAGAGATATGCCCTTTAGATGAGGTCTGGGCTTCTGATGCTGAGGGCAGAAAGGCCAAACCTCTGACCTGGCTGACAAATAATGCACATGAGTGCTCTTGGTCTGGGCTTGTTTGGTTCGGACCTGGCTCTAATCCATTTCTAATCCACCCCTGGCTGCAAGCCCAAATGCCTCTACTGGATGCTGAGGTAGGTCCAGAATGTTATTTCTCCTATTGGATAAAAAAGAAAAAAAGAAAAAAAACCCACATGCACACCTATACTCGCACCCTGATGCACATGCACACACATACACAGAACCATACAAACACAAGCACGCAACCTCAAACAAATCGTCTTTCCAATGAAAGCTCATTTCTTGGTTGGAAAGTTTAGTCTGGTCAAACCTGTTTGACTCATCCCACTAATAGCAGCTGCTCACTAACATGAAATGCCCCAAGGACATATGTGAAACACAGGCTAGTTTCATAGTCCCAGCAGAATGAAGTGCACCCAGCTAACAAACAGTGCAAGTAGGTCAGGGTGGAGCACAAAAGCCATCTTCAGAAGCTTTAAATTAGGGCACAAAGCCAGACATACAAGTTCCAGTCACTCCCCCTTAAGAGCCACCTGAATCTTTAGGGATCTACAGGTTTTGGGAGCTGGACACTCAACCCCCTCTCAGGAAGCCAGCCCTGCCCTACTGGAGTCCTAGTACCTACCAGAGCTGGTCCTGGGTAAGAGATGGGACTCTGAACCTGAACCTCCCCACAGGCTGGTCTCTCATCCTCCATGCAGGACATCAACAACCCCTCTCCCCATCCTGGTCTCCTCTGCTTCAGTCCACAGTCCCTCAGCTTTCTCCACCATATTCTGTAGTCTCAGTCCTCTGCTCCTACAGCAGCCGTCTAGGAGCTGTCCAGCACATCTCCAACTTCCCTGGCAGTCAGGACTCACCCTGTTTCCCTTCTTATATAGCCCAGAAGGGACGGACCTAGAAGTGGGCCAGCCCATTGCCTCAAAGGGCCACCCCGCAGTACTGCTCCAGCAGCTTAATTATGGGGGAGGGAAGGG